CTGCAGGTGTCATCATCACCTTCTTCGTGCCCAACTACTACCTCGGCACTCAACACAACCACGTCAGCAAGCGGGACCTCGACGACAACGATGTGGGCGGCCCTGTGGTGCGCGACACTTCCAACGAAGCACCGCCCACCACGCCTGGCCAAAAAGCCTGGCGCGCCATCCGAGACGCGTGGGACTTCCCTCCTCGCAAGCCCCTTGCCGCCTAGATGCATCCTTGTGCGGCTTCACTCCACTTCGTGTTTACGTCTCTCTTGGATGTCTTGAAATTAAAATGTTATGATTACGGAATGCAAATCAAGACCCGCCGAGGGGCCTCTCCCGCAGGTCCTGCTAGAATGGTTGCCAAGTCATTCACTGATTTCCAACTACGATCGCTGACAGGCCTCGCGCAAAGCAGACCCTCAGCTAAGGGTGAGTTCGGTCACTCGACTCGCTCGAGGTTGAACAATTGTGGGCGCCTCGAGCGGATTTGAGGAGAACATTCTTTGTGGAAACAAAGTGATTTCGAGCAGCTCTGGATCAACGTGTGTGCAAGTTGACCGAAAGCAAAGAATGCTGGCCCTGGTATGGGCATTGGACCTACGTAGACGTGTGTCATACACACATCCGCAGAGCTCGTCACTCGACCAACAGATTGTAACTACGCAGGTTGAAAACAATCGAGCACCCACACATGCTGTCATCCCTCGCACTGCACTACCGCTTGGTGGCGCAGTCGTGAGTGCAGCAGGTCAAGGTGCGGCCGCATACTGGCAGCGTCACAGTCTAAGCGGGACTGCTGCGAGCCTGTCACGCGCTAATATCTTGCGCTCCCTTCACCGAGGTGTGTGCGCCCAACGCAAGTCATTCCTGCACTCTCACTTCTATCACCATCAGGCAAGTCACTTTTTGCTGACTTTTCATCGCGCTGTGCTACAACAGGAGGGCTTCTTGCGCTATTCGCTACCTTGATGCGCCATCTTACGCCATGTTGAGGCCCTTGCGCCTAGCAAAGCAGCAGCAAGACTTCTCGACACTGCACCCGTGTTGCCTGAATGACTACTCTTCCTCAAGCTTAAAATGTCTTCTGACGCCGAGCGAAGGGCGACTATGATGAGGCGCAGCTGTCTAAACCGCCTGGCGTACTCCAGTATAAAGGCTTGGTCTACGACATTTCACTTCTGTAGGCATGTTTGCGAATTTAGCCAGTGACTGCCTTCTTGATGGGCAATGTCCCTCCGCTCCTACTAGTGCGCGTGTCTGCGTACTCGCTGATATCTTTATGTCTTACGGGCAGACCATTTGCCATCTACCCAATAAAAAGTAGATCAATGGCTTGCTCATCAAAACAAAAACGATCAGAATCCGAAGGCAGAGCGGAAGTTCAAAACAAACGCATATGCATGGTCCTTGACAAAGCATCCCTCTAGCACATGGAAAGGGGGAGAGCGGGATAATCATCAGGAGGTGAAGAAGAAGGAAAACAGAAGAGGGTCCTTTGTGATACCCCGAGGAGACAATGATGTCACCTGCCTCAACATAACCGTCACAAGAGGCCAGAGTGGGTCGTTAGAGCTAGGGCGAATTGATCAAATGGCTGTAGCGCCGGCCGACAAGGTGCTGACAAATGTTCAACGTATTGCCCACAAGGGACGTCACGGGGTGAGAGAGTTGAATAGAAGGTGGCATTCTGCGTGTTGGGACCAGCGGCATCACCCGGAGTAGCCCAAGAGCTGATGCTCAGGTCAAGGGCACCTTGAGAATGGGCTTAGAATGATTCCCCTGTCCACGACTGCCTCTGTGCCACGAGACGCGCCTGGTAGGATGCAAAGTATGATGAACCTTGCGCAATCCTAAAGGCCGAAGTGATGGCTACAGACACCAGCGCTAAAGTCAGCATGCACTCTGCTTGTCTTCACCTGCAGCGCGCATTCTGGCAAGGATGAGTGCAGACGTTTATGAGTTTATGACTGTCCCATTCAAACTTCTCCTGTCACGCTATTTAGTTGTACATTGAGCAGTTGCAGACGTGAGTCGCAACCACATAAGCGTCCGATTTTCTTGTGTGACCCCAACACGCACAGATGTGCTATAGTCTTGCTGTGACTGATTGGCGTGTATCTTTTGCCCACATCGTTCTTGAGAGCAGTGCTTTGCGCCATCACTTCTTTGAGACCACGCCGCACACCTCCGTGTTTGCATCTCTGCATGCTGGTGATAAAGCCTTGCGGCGCTTTGTCACCTTGATGAGAAGCCTTTCACAGCACCGCATCTCGAGCCCTCAACCCGCTCCCCCCTCAAAAAAAGCAGACGATCGCCTTGCGTCGTATGCAAGCAAAAGGGACCGCTCAAGCGTGGGAAGTCTGAGTGGCTTTTGACATGGCAGATCACAATGTCAGACGAAAATTGCGCACGCAAGACCTTATGGTTCTTCTCGAACATAGGGAAGAAGATGATTTACAGCGAACGTGGCGGGGAGCTCGGAATCCTTTCAAAGCGCCTTGAGGGATTTGGACTGTTCAAAACCGCGACTGAGAGCAGGAGGCTTCATGTACATAGCACACCCATGTACTAGTGATCCTGCAAGTCTCATGCATGCGTTGCCACAGCAATTTTCCGGCAAGCACCTCCTTGGCTGTGCTTTCCAGCACCAGCGCCCACTGCATGGCTGGCGGCAGGCTACTGGCGCTGTCGAGCAACTCACCAAGCATGGCAAAAGCCATTTCAAAAGCCTGATAGGCCGGGTGACCCCGCCAGGCTGGTACTTCCTCCTCTGACCAAGCCCGCCTCTCAAAAATCTCCCAAATGGTCTCTTCCACCGGTGCACTGTCAATGACGCAACAAATCAGTTACGTGCCTGTGTGCGTCCGCATCACTTGTGCTCACCTTTGTTCCAGCCAGGCTTTGTATGCGACCATTGCCTCTGCCCATTCTTTCTCCGTCCTTCCTAGAATGAGATCCCTCCCAGTGACCCCCATCCACTGCATCCCCTTAGCTTCGATGGCACCACTTGATCTTGCTTGGTCCAGCCACTGCCAAAGTTCAGCATGGCTCCTCCACTCCAGGTGTTTTCTTCCCCTCTTTCCTGTGCTCCCTGCTTCAATGCCCGCCCATACCATGCTTGACATTGGGTAGAAATTGTTGACAAACTCTAGCTTGAGCTGCTTGCGGTCGACGCGCAAGAGGTGAAACGTCACTGAGGGCGCTCTGCGCTATTAGTTATGGTAGCAATACTTGTGGCTGCATGACATTGTTTGGTCGGTAACCTGCACGTGGCAGATGGATAGGCGGGGAAAGGGTTCGACTCGCGGTAGCGCAGTCGAAGGTAGGATCGGACTTAAGATTAGAGCATAAGTGATGTATTTGTGAGAGATCTTGTCTCTCGTACCTGGGGTTTTTATAGGCGCTCGGCGCCTATAAGCATGTATCATAGTTGTGCCATACATCGAGAGTGACTTAGGGATATTTGGGGATTGTACGTGCAAGAGAGGAACATTGGCGCGTACAATCGAAGCCACGATGGATGGGAGTGGCTTCGTAAGTCCATTGGGTTTGGGAAGCAGGCCTCGACCCAAGGTGGCGTCGAGGTGGCTTATGTGGCTTGATTGGTGGCGCTAGGCCTGGGCGCGCCACATGCACGTACCCTGTGTTTGTACTAGGTGTGGCTGAGACGAACACAGCAAGGTTCTCTCGTGCGATAGTCGTGAACCCAAACAACATCACTTGCTTTCTGCGTTGGCGTCCATGATGTGTGTTGGGGGGGGGTTGTGCTTGAGTGCTGGAAGTAGTGGTGTTGTGCTTGGGGGTTCAAGGTAGTGATGCTGGAGCGGAGGCGGGCGGTGCGTGCAAGGGGCGCTTGATTGATGAGATGTCGAAATCGTGCTTGTAGAACTTTGTAGTGTTGATCAATGCTGTGCAGCAGGGAGAGCGGGATCAGCAGTTGGCGTGCGCATCACCTAGGCAGCTGGAAGTTTACTGTTGACGCGCTCCCAGAAGAGTACAAGCATGATGCACTATACAGCAAGATGAGTCTCGATTCATGCTCGCGCAACATTGCACACACATGCTTTCACCTTTGTTTCAGCCGTGCGTTGTAGGCCTCTTTTGCCTGCCTCCAAGCCTCTTCAACCTTTTCCAAGAAACGGTTCCTTCCCGTCACTCTTGTCCGCTGAAGGAACAGATTAGGGGTTAGCCCAGATAACCGCAAATAATGCTTGCGCTCTACGCGCGTCAGGTGTGGGAGCGCTGTGGAGACGCGGGTGTGTGAGAGTTGCTGTCTTACCCCTCGTCTCTGTTTGCCGCACTCTCTCGTCCAGTGCAGCCATGGTGCACTGAAAAAATTCACCGGCTATGCGCTCTGCTATTGGAATTGCAGAGAGAGGTGAGTGTTCGAGGCAAGCATTCTAACCCGGCAACTGCACTACAACTATCAAAGTAAGTGCTTTCCCGATGTTTCTGCTGTGGATGTATGCTGACCGCAGCACTGTGAGCAGATTCAAGGCTGGGTAAGTTCATTGCAGCTACGAAGCTTGTCCGATCACGATTGTGTTTGATTACTCGTCTGCCGCTGCACTCATTCGATGGACCAAAGCGTTCTCCACAAAGCTCTGATCCTTATTTGTAGGCCTCAGTAGTATTGGCGAATGTATGTGTTGCTGCAAATGCTGTTCTCCTGCTCTACAGCAGTATCGCAAGAAATGTTTAACGAAGTACGCGTTGATCACTCTGAAAAACTCTGCTTCCTCAATTTACTCAATTTAGACCGCCGGCTCGCCTAAAATCTGATGAGTCGAGACTAGAGCGCCTGACTTTGGCGACGAAGAGCACCTCGAAGAAATGCTGGTCAATTTTTGGGCGCGTCGAGAGCTGCATACGAATGAAGTGCGCGCTGGATGCACGAAGAAGTTTTGCAGCGCCGCATTATGCCATGTTGTACAGCTTGGTCTGACGCGAGAATGAAAACGCATACTGTGTCGCATTTAGCACACTTGTTCGAGGTGCCGGTTTCTCCTGATCCAATCATTCAGGAAGCGAACTCAAGGACTCTATCGACGTCACATCCGTGATGACACGTCCTTTGACGTCAATATGAGACTACAAGTCGATCACAACATGCACCAGGACAATCCCTCTTGTCTGTGCTACTTTGATTCGGCTTCTCAATCGTCGGTGCGACAGAGTGGCCACTTCGATCGGAATGCTCAACCGTCGTTGTGACAAAGTGCTTACTTCACTGGTGCACAAGTGACCACAATACCTCGACTCGACAGACACAAAAACTATTTTGGAGATGCTGCGGTCAATACAAGGCAATGGCTCTACATAGGTAGTGTTCACAGCGGATCAAAAGCAGCTTGAATCGCTGCGCAGACGCCTTTACCGTGATCATGGCTAAACGTCTGAAGGAATGCGTGGAGGTGACGAAAAAGAAGAGCTGGACCAGGATGCAAGGTTACGAGTACAACTTTGGGATTGGTCAGCTGCGAGAGATGTGCACTCGGGATGTTGATGATGCCGCAAAGACTCACAACCCATGAAACAGCGGTGCCAAAATTGATTGAAGGAATCAAAGAATTGAAAGTTCTGTGCAAAAACAACAGATCTTGGGCCGTGCAGCATATCTTAAATCCCCAGTGATTAATGAAGGCCCGAAGTTTACAAAACACCAAGCATGAAGACCCCTTGGGGCGCCTAAGGTCATTATTTTCTACTTTGGCAACCCTCCTAGATCATTTCATTGATCACTGGTCTCTATGCATAATCTAAGAGTCACTCGC